AATGGAGTGGTCTCTGTTTTTCCGAGTACAACTTTCCATCTACAAACAACAAGATCATGGGATTTCTTAGGTTTCAATGAAACCGTCAAGCGCAATCCAACCGTGGAGAGTAATGTCACCATTGGTGTGATTGATTCTGGAATCTGGCCTGAGTCAGAAAGCTTTAGCGACAACGGTTTTGGTCCTCCTCCCCAAAAGTGGAAAGGTGTCTGTGAGGGTGGCGAAAATTTTACTTGCAACAAGTAAATCCATTCCTGATTTATATATCTCACCCTTATATAGCAAGTAAATTTATTACTTTGTAGATAGATTATAATCAATCGTCTTGTGATTTCACTGGTTACAGCAAGCTCATCGGAGCTAGATATTACACTACTGGCTCAGCAAGAGATGACGAAGGTCATGGGAGTCATACTGCATCTACTGCAGCTGGAAACCCTGTCAAAGGTGCTAGTTTCTTTGGGCTAGGAGAAGGAACTGCCAAAGGAGGGGTTCCCTCTGCAAGGATTGCCGCATACAGAACCTGTGATACAAACGGGTGCGGTTCAGAAGAAATTTTGGCAGCTTTTGACGATGCAATAGCTGATGGAGTTGACTTGATTACAATTTCAATAGGAACTGACGACCCCATAGACTTCAAATTTGATCCCATAGCAATCGGTGCCTTCCATGCCATGGAGAAAGGAATTCTTACCGTACAAGCTGCTGGAAATAGTGGGTTCTCAGTAACATTTAAGTCAACTTCAAGTTCAGCACCATGGGTGCTTTCTGTTGCTGCAAGTAGCATAGATCGCCAATTCATCAGCAAGGTTGTTCTTGGGAACGGAAAGACACTAACGGTGTGTATAGTACATACGTTTTTGGAGACTCTCTTGACAGCTTATATATGTTGTTAGTTTGGAATGGTTCTTAAATCTTAATAACGGTTATGACTGTCTTGCCTCTCTACAAACAGGGTTTGTCAATCAATACATTCACGCTAAATGGAACAAAGTTCCCAGTGGTTTCTGGAGAAGATGTTGTAAATAGTGGCTGTGGAGAAGCTGACGGTCGGTGAGTTTCCAATTTAGTTTCAATTTCAAAAATAATAACTTAAATTTGGCAAAATAAAAAGAAAATCTGATTGCTTTGTTCTGTGTAAGGGCTTGTGGCGAGGGGTGTCTCAACAAAGAAGCAGTAAAGGGAAAGATTGTATTGTGCAACACTGTTGATGGAATTGATGGAGTGAAGTATGCTGGTGGAGTAGGAGCAATTGTCTATAACAATTTAAATGAAACTGTTCCTCGTGCGCTCATTTTCTCAATTCCTGCCATAGCTTTAAACAAAGATAACTTTACTTTTGTGGAGACCTATGTAAAGTCCAAGTAAGTACACATCTGGAACCACCATTCTATTTGTGTAGGATATGTGTATATTTTATTTACTAGATGCATGACATCTCATATTACAGAAATCCTGTAGCTGAAATATTAAGAAGTGAAACTATT